ATTAAAACCACTATGAGTTATGATCTCACACCACTCAGAATGGCTATCATCAATAAATTACCAAACAGTAAGTGTTGGCAAGAATGTGGAGAAAAGGGAACCCTCGTGCACTGTTGGTAGGAAGGCAGACTGGTACAGCCACTGTGGAGAACAGTATGGAGTTTCCTCAAAAAACTAAAAATGGAGCTCCCATTTGACCCAGTGATCCCATTTCTAGGAATATATCCCAAGAAACTAGAAATACCAATCAGAAAGAATATATGTACCACTATGTTCATAGCTGCACAATTTTCAATAGCTAAGATCTGTAAACAGCCCAAGTGCCCATCAGTAAACAAGTAGATAAAAAAGCTGTGGTACATTTTTGCCATGGAATACTATGCAACAGTAAAAAAAGAAGAATCTCTTACCCTTTGAGACAGCATGGAGGGACCTGGAGAGTACCATGTTAAGTGAAATAAGTCAGTCAGAGAAAGACAAGTATCACATGACCTGACTCATATGTGGAATCTAAGTATCAAAATAAACTGATGAATGGAGTGGATTCAGAGACATATAAGCATGAAACAGAGTGCGGAATCTCAGAGGGAAGGTGGGGGAGGGTCAGTGTGGAGGGGTAATCAACCACAGATCTTGTATGCATATATGTATAACCCATGGACATGGACAATAGGGTGCTGAAGGACTGGGGCAAAAGGGGAGGTGGGCTGGAGGGGGTCAATGAAGGAAAAAGGGACATATGTACTACTTTCAACAATAAAGAATTATAAAAAAACTGGTAAAACTAAAAAAAAAAAACAACTTAAAATGACAATGAAGTATCACCTCACATCTGTCAGTCAGAATCCATCAACAAATCATGAAATGACAAGTGCTGGTGAGGACATAGAGAAAAGGGAACCCTGGTACACTGCTGGTGGGAATGCAATCTGGTGCAGTCATTATGGAAAACAATATGCTGTTTCCTCAAAAAACTAAATATGGAACTTCCATTTTATCCAGTGAAGATATCCTAAAAAGGCTGAAACACCAATCAGAAAGAATATATGCATCCCTATGTTCATAGCAGCACAATTTACAATAGCTAAGATCTGGAAACAGCCCAGGTGCCCATCAGTAGATGAGTGGATAAAAACCAAACAAACTGTGGTACATTTACACAATGAAATATTATGCAGCAGGAAAAAGAAGGCTCTCTAACCTTTTGAGACAGCATGGAGGGACCTCACAGTGATTTTAAAGTAGCCAAATAGAACAGAAAGCGTGAAAGTGGGCAAGTGATGATGTGAAGATGGGCAGTAGAAAACAATTGCTGGAAAATGAATCTTGCATAGCCACACTGTCCCATATAGTAGATACATTGGTATTTAAAATTACATTTATATTAACTAAGATTAAAGTAAATTAGATATTCAGTGTATCAGTCCCACTAGCCATGTTTTCTGTGCTCCAGCTGAGCGTGGCTGGTGGTGGCCGCACGGGGCAGCACAGATGCAGACTTGCTGCTGTGGGGGTGAGGGGGGCTAGAAGAGGTCACTGGGGGGGAGGGGGAACATGTGTAATACTTTCAACAATAATGATTTAGTTTAAAAAAATACAAAGATCATGAATGGAGAGAGATAGAAACTTTGATGAGAGAGAAACATCATCGATTTCAGCGGTTCTCAACCTGTGGGTTGCGACCCTGAAATACATCCTGCATATCAGATATTTACATTATGATTCATAACAGTAGCAAAATTACAGTTATGGAGTAGCAACAAAAATAATTTTATGGTTGGGGGTCACCACAACCTGAGGAACTGTATTAAAGGGTCTCGGCTTAGGAAGGTTGAGAACCACTGGATTAGATGAATCTTGCATGCCCCCTCCTGGATATCAAGCCCAAAAGCGGGGCATGGGCCCTGACTGGGAATCAAACCAGTGACCTCTTGGTTCATGGGTCAATGCTCAACCACTGAGCCACATAACTGGGCTTCCTTTTTTTTTTTTTTTAAATGTCAACCTACCAACTTTTTACATCTCTGAATGCTGACAAACAATAGTAAAAGTATTTACTATTCATCATGACCTGGTTACTATTTTATTTTCAAAATTTTCTAGTGCTTTAGAAGATTTAGGATAAATAGTTTTTAGCTTTTTAACATTTTAACTGTCAAGATTTGGGGAAAAACAACTACAATATTCCTCAAAAGTTCCAACATGGTTACTTAAATTCCTGACCACTTGTGTGACCATTTCCCTTAAAAACGAACCCTTTCGTTACACAGTGACTTAGTGTAAGGCTTACCTCTGTCCCATTTATTTTCTGCATATTAAAATGGCTCAGCCTAAATAGTACATAGTATTTCCAGAGTGTAAAATTGACAACTGGATTTCCTTGAAGATCAATTGTCAACTGGTCAATACGATGGAGTTGTGCTAATGCGTTAAACTGTTGTAGCATTGCAAGATTTGTTTCCTTGAATTTAAGGTGCTGCAATAATAAAACACACACAAAAAAGCTGACCATTAAATTTAACCATCTTAAAATAGTTACATTTAAACTTCACTAATTATTTCCTAAGTAAATCTGTAAACTTTAGGCTTAGCTAATATGTTTTTAATTACATTAAGTCAACTGAATCTACTAAACCTTACCTACCTTTAATCCAGCGGTTCTCAACCTGTGGGTCGCGACCCCTTTGGCAGTCGAAAGACCCTTTCACAGGGGTTGCCTAAAACCATCCTGCATATCAGATATTTACATTACGATTCATAACAGTAGAAACATTACAGTTATGAAGTAGCAACAAAAATAATTTTATGGTTGGGTCACAACATGAGGAACTGCATTTAAAGGGCTAGAAGGTTGAGAACGACTGCTTTATCCATTTAATACATCATTGATGAACTCCATTAATCCATCCAATATTGGATTCAAAATGATTTCTATTTTGCAAAGGATATCTCCCCATTTATTAACAAACTAAGATCCTTAAAAATTACATAAACACAATAACTCATTACAATGAATAGTATATACTTTTTGCTAAAATTAAAACTACAAAGAAATCATTAATATTAAAATTTTAAGAATTTTATAAATGCAGGGTTCACAATGCTTCTGAGAGAACTAGTTAGGTGTTATACCTGCATCTTGCCGATTACTATGCAGGCTAGTTAAACTGGCTACAGGAATATCAAGTCACAAAAACTGAAAGGCTAACGTAGGTGTTCTGTCTGTGAAATTGGATGATCTTTTCTAAACATACTATCTTCACTTCTATCTATCTTATTTAGGGAGACTGATATGGGGAAAAACAACTTATAAAAGGCCTAACAGAATAACATAACAATAATAACTCAAGAAAGAATGCATATAAATGACAATTTCTGCAAATGCATACCAATAAATAATACAATAATACCATAACTGGAAAAGGCTAACTCTCAAAGTAATCATTTTATATGTTGCTAGGGGACTACTGTGAACATTATGTTAAAATGTACATGTCCCAATAACACCAGGTATAATAAATGAATATATAATATATGGTCAGGTGAGATCCTGTTGAACGCTTCTTTACAAAGTAGAAATAAACAATATGAATAAAATTATACTAGTTCTTTATACTTCATACAGAATCATTTTCTAGACAGGTAATTTCCAATAGTAACTGAAAGCTGCAAGGGCATTTATAAATAATAATTTAAATCCCAGGTCCATAAAATTAACACAAAGCTTAGTCTCCCTGCCAGATAGAAACTCCATAAATAATAGTTAAAAACAGGTATTTAGCCTAAACATACAAGTCATGACTGAGAATGATTCAAATAGACTACTAAAAGTAAGTATTTACCAGAGAATTAGGGAACTTCATCTTCACTTTGGGAAGCACTTGGACGATTTCATCAAATTCTATGAAAGTGAAGGACACTGTTGTCACCATTCGTGCTGTTTGAATGCTCCAATTCCGATCTAGCGATTCCAGTGCTCCTGAGCCATACAGGGAAAGCGTGTCCCCATCCACATCAACAAGGTGCGTGTCTGTGACAGATAAGGCTTGTAAAGCATTGGTAAGTACTGAGTCCAGAGACCTGGAAAAGCCAACATACAATTTTAAATGATAGTCTTATCATGCAAAGTAAATAACAGACTATAAAGAGCTGTTGGAAAAGGTATTTAAAATTCTATATTCACTTTTTCATTTAAATAATTAAACCCAGAGTACCAAAGACTAAATTTCAATAGACTATCTGAAAGTTTTAGATCTTCTAGTCATATATATTTTATTTTTATTGTTGATACTATTACAGATGTTCCATTTTCTCCCACCCCCTTTGCCTGCCTCCACCCAGTCCCCACCCTTTTTTCCCTCTGGCCATCACCACACTACCACACTGTTGTCAGTGTCTATGGGTTATGGATATATGTTCTTTGACTAATTCCTTTAATTGAGTTCTACCCTCCTCCCCACTTCTAGTTATATACAGGGTGTCCCAAAAAATGTATATACACTTTAACAGGTGATAGATAAATTTTGAAAATGCAATGTACTTTAACAAACACTGCCTTTATAATTATTCAAAATGTGTATATACATTTTTGGGACACCCTATATTTTCATTCAAAAAGAGGCACATGTGCATAAAAAAATAACACCTTTAAACCAAAATGTTTTCTGTCAATGAAAAATAATTGATATTCTATTTAGTTTTAAAGCAATCCATTTAATGTATCATAGATGTTTTCATGGCAATACAAATAGATTTTTGTAATCATTAAAGTATTCCACTGTCCAGCTGAAAAACACACACACACACACATTTTACAAAACACTATTTCTATACCAAGAACCGTATAATATCCTATCCTATATAGTAAAAGGCTAATATGCAAGTAGACCAAATGGTGGAATCGGAACCAAAACAACCGAACAACCAGTCGCTGTGATGTGTGCTGACCACCAGGGGGCGTGCGCGGAACATGATGGACGTTGGCCGTGGCGGGATAGTGGAGCAAGTGAGCGGGGGCACACCCACAGCCAGCGCCGAAGCTGCGGTTCACACCCACTACCTATAGCAGCCTCGCGGCCCACAGTTCCTTTCAAGGTGCATGAATTCATGCACTGGGCCCCTAGTAAAAATATTTATAAAACACTTGGTAAGACATAAAATAACTCTTAACAATAGTTAATCTCTCAGAAGTTGGGTTAAAGGGTAACTTTCTATTTTTGAATACTTGTTTAAAATTTTGCATGTGTATGCCACATTTATAAGCAGTAAAATTAATCAAGATTTCTCCCCATTTTGAAATAAGAAATGATGAAAAATAATCCATTACTTATATAATGTGTACACATACACAATCACCTCACATACACAACTCAATATGAAAGTTGTTACTATTTTCAAAGTAGGAGCCACCTTTTCTATAAAGGTTACTTAAATGATAGCCAGAGAAGAAAAGAAATAGATTGATCCAACTCAAATGTCCTGTTTTTTCCAGTCTCAAAACTGAAACAATGTTTGGCTTTTGTTCCATGTGTTTTCATTCTGGCACTTTTACTTTCAGATTTGCCCTCACTAATATTAGTGCTTTGCTCCCCTTTGTGCTTCTATGGACTTTTGCACACTCCTCCAATAAACCACTTCTTATACTGCACCATAATTGCATTTCTGCAATTTTGTCACCTCTATCAGATAGTGAGTTCCTCAAGGCTAAAGACTACATTTTTTTTTCATATTTGGAGGCCTGGGGTCTAGTAATGGGATTTTCACAATGTATATTGGATAAATGCATTATTAAAGACCTTAAAAATTTGTATAATGGTGCTGTTGCAGGATAAAGCTAAAAAACCATTACCCTGTTGGTTTATCAAGTTTTACTAGACTTATGTGAACGTATATCAGAGCCACAAGTGATTTTCAACCTTTTTCATCTCCTGGCACATATAAATTTATTACTAAAACTTGGCAGCACACTGAAAAAAATATATATTTTTCCAAACTGGCAAATAAATAGGTATAATTTTGATTCATTCACACCGGATGGCTATTGTGTTGGCTGTTGTCATTTTTTTATTTTACAATCTAATGGAAAAGAGGTCAGTGCCCTGACTAAGTAGTCAGGTATTGCATATTTTAAAAATTCTTGTGGCACACTGGTTGAAAAATCAATAACAAGCTGGCTAATAACATCAGTCAACTCTAAGTCAATATATGACATAAAGACTTGATTTCTGCCAGTCTAGTGCTTAAGACAATGATTATATGAAAACTAGAGGCCAGGTGCACGACATTTGTGCACTGGCGGGGAGGGTCCCTCAGCCCAGCCTGCACCCTCTCACAGTCCGGGACACCCCAGGGGTCCTTAGCACTGCCGTGGAGGCGGGAGAGGCTCCCACCACCTCTGCTGCACTTTCCAGCCATGAGCCCAGCTTCTGGCTGAGCGGCGTTCCCCTGTGGGAGCACACTGACCACTAGGGGGCAGCTCCTGCATTGAGCATCTGCTCCCTGGTGGTCAGTGTACATCATAGCGACCAGTCATTCTGCCTTTTGGTCGATTTGCATATTAGGGTTTTATTATATAGGATAATCAAACATTCAATGAGCAGTAGTATATGAATAATCTTATATGAGAATCCTATAAAGGTAAAGGCTGATAATAGAACAAAAATAAGATGAGAATTAAGAGTTCCTCATATTGTGCTTTGTATGATAGATATGTATTGAGTTATGTTGAGTATATAATCATTTCTGGAATAAGAAAAAGTATAGAAGTTACATTTCACTTCCACTAAAATAAAGAAGGCTTGATGAAAAGGATGCCCCTTTTATAGCACTTCCCACCTTGCACAGCAATTACCATTTACTTGTCTTTATCACAAAATACGGTGATCCTTAAGGGCTCAAACTTAGTCATATTCACTCTAGTAGAACCAGCATCTAGCACAGCTCCTACCACATGTGCTCAATAATATTTCTCAAGTGAATTAATGAAGTGAGACAATTAGGATTTTTTTATGAGTATCTATTACATTTTATAAAAGCTTTCCAACCATAAGCTGTGGTTTGAGCAGAGGGGCAGCATTAGTGATACAGACACAGATAGGATTATTGAAAAATATTCTCAGCTGAGGCAATGGCGAATAATGAAAAAGTAAGGTAAAGCAAGCAAGCAAAAAAAAAAAAAAGTAGGTAGTTGATGGAGTGATGCTTGATGGCCATGATTTCTCAGCAAAAGAAGTATATTTTAATGTAAAAATGATGGGAAATCAGAGCTATGTACCAAAAACATAAGTAAATCCTTTGAGAAGTGGTGTTATTTTATATCATATATTTGAAAGTATCTTGCTTTTCTTTGTCCATATGATTAAAAGTTTAAGAGCGATCTAAGATGGCAACTGTGGAACCGGAAACCACTCCTATTCCTAACCTCTCACCTACAGAAGGAGAAAAACGGATTTAACCAGGAGGTTGCTAACCCACAAAACTATACTAAATATCCTTTACAGAACAGATGGGCACTGTTTTTTGGGTTGTTTTTTTTTTTTTTGAAAAATGACAAAACTTGGCAAGCCAACCATTGCCTGATCTTTGAGTGTGATCTCTAAGTTGAAGACTTTTGGGCTCTTCTACAATCATATCCAGTTGTCTAGTAATTTAATGTCTGGCTGTGACTACTTACTTTTTCAGAAGAGTATTGAGCCTACGTGGGAAGATGATAGAAGCAAATGAAGAGGACAAAGGCTAAGTACATTGAACAAACAGCAGAGGCAAAGTGTCCTCAAATGCTTTTGCCTGGAGACACTGCCATGACTTACTGAAGAATCCTTTTTTTAAAAATATATTGTCTTATTGATTTCCGAGAGGAAGGGAGAGTGAGAAAGAAACAACAATGATGAGAGAGAATCACTGATTGGCTGCCTCCTGCACATCCCCTACTGGGAATTGAGTCTGAAACCCTGCATGTGCCCTTGACAGGAATCAAACCCAGGATCCCCTCAGTCTGCAGGCCGATGCTCTATCCACTGAGCCAAACCAGTTAGGGCTGGAGAATCTTTTGATGACCACAGTAAAGCTGTTGCTAATGTTAGAGCTAAAGGTGATAAGATAGCAAAATGGATTACTGAATGTGAATACGGAGAAGCTATTACATATTTAGGGAGGGTACACAAGGAAAGGTTAGGACTTCCTCCAAAGATAATGACTGGATATCAGTCCCTTGCAGATGCAGCTACTACTAAGAGCAGCTCCACCACTAAAAAGAGGTCTGATGTTTAAGAAGAGACATCTTCTGAGTATTCTCATAGGAAACTAGATCAAGCAATTGAGATTGGGGAGCTGAACCACAGCCTTTTCAAAAGCAGACTGGACTGCATTTAAATTTGATTTTCATCTAAATGTTGCTAAGATATAAGAGAAGTCACATTTGGCTTTGTCTTGCACTTCTGTATTAATTTAAAAACAATTCTTTTAGTTAGAGTGTCCACTTATCCCAATCAAAGAATTACAGTATACATTGTCCCCAGAATCCATACATGTGTTTCTGGCCCACTCAGTAATAGCTTACAAACACAGTTTACCCATCCATAAGATTAAAAAAGAACTTGTACTTCTAAACCTTACAGGAAAAGTATTCTGTTTATGTTTCTTTGTATGGAGGACTATATTGTACTGGTTTGAAAGAGTATGATGGAGACAGTTTTCTAGCAATTTTCTTTGTTTTGTTTGACACCCTTGTCTTAGACATTCTTGTTGATGGCTGCTAGATTTTAATTTATTTGTTTCCCTATTTGATCACATTAGTGATTTGATTTTAGTGTTTCATTTGTTTTTTTCTCCATGTAACATTGATGAAGGCTTCAAGAATATGACACCAAAGTGTCACACAGACACAAAGAATAAAAATTAACTTTGGGCATTCTTTGGTAATTTTTTTTTGTAACTACAAAGCTTTGTTACAGATTTATGCATTTCATTCAAATCAGTGATCTATGTTTGTGTAATTTCCTAAACATAATTGTGGACTATAAAAATGTAAAAATGTAACATCATAATTACATTCCTAATTAGAATTAGTATGTCTGTTTTTG